TTTTTTTTTTTTTTTTTTTTTTTTTTTTTTTTTTTTTTTTTTTTTTTTTTTTTTTTTCACCACTGTTTGGTGAATCGAGTGATAAAATTACCTAAACTCGGGCAAATCGTTGTCAAACTGGACACTGGTTTCGTGCAAAACGTTGAAATTGTCGTCTATGACGACAGCTTTTAACTGGAATTTTGAAAATTCATAAAAATTACTTTGGAAAATTGTAGAGCAACATCAGCAGCAGCAATGAGCAAGTGGGAAGTTTCGTAATATACTTAGAGTAAACACGATAAATGGTGACTATACACACATAGCTCGTTTATATGCACTAATATACTCTCGCTATACCGTCGCGGAACAAGATAAAATTAATACACCGCGATAACAGCGTAAATTTTTGTTTTTCGCGCCCTTTGTACGTCTTTGACTCATAAAAAATAGTGGAGTGTGGAACGCGGACCAAACACAAACGCGCACATCATCACTACACACATAAATTTTCTTTCATGTTTCACAGCTGTAAGTACAGTTTTTTATTTAAGTGTATACTATATATTATGACCGCGAGGGAATATACACATTATACAGGTACAGATATACTACTTTAAGGCTTGCGTTTACTTGGCTACCGACGACCGTCAAACACGACACGACAGTCTGACTCGCATCACTTTTAAAAACGACTTACTCGATTGATATAAACGATTATGCGTGTGTTGAACTATTTTATGTCAAATAAAAAAACTATGCGCAAGTAAAAATGTATACATGTATGTATAACAAGTGGGGCATGAAACAAAAAAAATAAAAAACAAAAAAATAAAGTATATACCCACCTGCTGTGTACTGAAATCGAGCCCCAGGTAAGTCGATTCTGAGGGTTCGCTCATCTTTCGACGGAAGTTGTGTATACTTGGTAAGTACCGATAAAAAAGTTAAAAGTCTCCGCGAACGGAGCAAACGGTATATAATTTGCTCTCGCTGTGTATACGCACTGTAACTTAACTTAAAGGTCTGAAATTTAAACTGCAGCGTCTACGTTGCTCTCTTTGCTCCCTCTCCTTCCTTGCCCCTCTCACTCTCTCTTTACGGGATAGGGTTATATATATATACATGCGCGACTGAGTTCGCCTAATCGCCTAATCGCGATGTAATATATAATATTCTCTTCGTTATTGGTAACAAAATCGACCATAGATGATGTCTATTACGTGACAATATTTGTCACATTAAAATATTATAATTATTACGGGACAAGTTTTCAGGATATTGTATTGGGTGTACGTGTGTATTTAACTTGTTACGCTTGTACATTGAAACGTTTGCATATACCGTATGTATCTATAACGGTACACTTATAAGTACCAAGAAGATCACAAAATATGTATTCTTTTTGGAGACCGTAGACCGTCCCGAAGATTTGTATATTTTTAATTCCATGTTCCATGCACACCACACATAATATGTTCTCGGATTATCCTTAAAATTAATATGTAGTAAAAAAAAAATATTTTTTAATGGTGTTTTTTTTTCAACCAAAACAAGTCATGTTGTGTGATTACGAATTTTCGGGAAAAATGGCTGTGACGCTAATACGTTTTTTTTAGTATTCCGATAACAGTTAAAGCAGTGTAATAATTGCTATATAATTCATTTGACCGGCAGCACGAAATTAATTTTTTTTTTTTTTTTTTTTTTTTTCATTCGTTCATTCATTCACGCCGAGTTGCGACAATCTGACATGGTTTTTTTATCCGCTACAAGTGATGATGAAAGAGTAATATCAATACTTAGCAATGATCTCGTGAAAAATTGGACCCAACAATGAAACAACACGTATACGTATTAAGTACGTACCTATTTCTGTGTGTCTCATGTTTTATCCCAAAAGTGTTGAAAAAAAAGTTAAATGAAAATTCGTTGCTTTGGGGGTGATGATGCGCGCATGGGAACTGACCAAAATATTTTCCCGCTCCAACATCAAAACGAAACACCCAATGAAGCAACGCATCGATTCAAGGCTATATAAATCAAATACGTTTTACAACATTTAATGCGTCTTAAAATGTTTTACACATTTTATTTTATATTTATAGGCACATGAGCTTTTGACAATCAAGTAGATAAGATCTGAGCCAGTTTAGCCAGTTTCAAATGTTTCAACATATGTGTAATATATCCGAATATCGATACTAATTCATTTCAAAATACTTTCGACTCCAATTCGATAATATCGATAATCGATACCATTTCGAGTGTGAATTTTAAATTGCGGAAAACACGAATTTATTACTTGCGCTGTACTAACCTCTCCTTGTCCACGCTGTTCCTTCTCTCAGTTAAAAGTAAACAAAAAGAAAAAAATTTAATACTCGCGTTGCAAGTGCTTTTTTTCGGGTAATTTTTTTTTTTTACGTCTCCGTCTAGAAAATACATGCTGATGGATGAAATTAAAATAGAAGAAGCCGAGGATGAATTCGTGCAGCATCCGGAGCAAGTGCCCAAGAGTAAGAGAAGAAAACAATCACTGACATCTTCAAAAACCTCAACAGTTTTCACGAATAAGCCATTATTCGGCAAAAAGAAAAAGAAGCAGAGCTATAATGCAAAGGAAGAAGCCAGGTAAAAAACATATTTTATAATTTACATTAAATAATAGCAAAAATATCTAATTTAGACGTTTTTGTTTTTATCAGATTAGAGAAACTGGTCTTTGGTGATCCCAGCGACGTTCTGAATAATTTAAAAGGCGATTACTTAGACTCCGAATCTACCGAGAATGACAGTGATGCCGACAATAAAGAGTCAGAAGTTGAAATCCTCGCGAAAATTTCCAGCGTTGATGGCATTGTCAGTGAAAATGACAGTGACAACGACGATGATAAAGATGATGATAGTGGTGATGATTATAAAGATGGTGAGAGTGACGAAAATGATGACGATGATGATGATGATAAATCGGTAGCATCTATTAAATCTGAAAAGGAATCCATCATCGATAAAGATGAAAAAGTTTTCTCAAAAGCTGTTGCCTGGGTAGATGATGATGATGAAGTATCGTATGTTATTCAAATTCGTACTTGTGGTAAAACTAAGATTTTTTTTTCCTTTATTTGATATTTTTTTTATTTTTTAAGTGTTCAAGATGCTTTGAAGTCGCAAAAACGAAAATTACCTCTGGGAAGACCAGAAAAAACATACAGTGATTTATTACATGGCAAATATGCTCGTTTAATGGGAACACCAAAATGGGCAAAATTAAATAAAGAAAAAGAGAAAGGATCCGACGATTCCGATGACGAAGTTTTAAAAGTAATTTATTTGGTTTTTTTTTTTATCTAAGTACCGGATATTAAACGCATAATTACGTGAATTTTTTGTTTTTATGGTCTGTAGCACAGTAATCACATAGTGCCAAAAAACATTAAATCTTTACCAAAAGATAAAATAGATCTAAAAGTTCTCTCCAACATAAATAATCAAACTCGAATCGAAGGCGCATACGTCAATTGCGTGCAATTTCATCAACAGTCTACAGTTGCACTAGTCGGAGGATCCTCTGGTGTACTTTCTCTGTTTCAGGTGAGTCGATGTATCACATTTAAAAAATACTTTTAACACAGTGCATGATATGTCAACATCGTTTTTTAAACTCCTTAAAGATTGATGGGCGAGAAAATAATAAATTGCACAGCATTCAATTCGAAAGATTTCCAATTTACTGTGCCAGGTTTCTTAAGAACGGTACGGAAGTTTTAGTTGGATCTAATGCTTCCAAGAAATCGAATTTCTTCAAGTCTCACTGTTATTCTTATGATTTGATGAGCGGCACAACACTTAGGATTCCTTTACCCCACGGCATGATGAAAATGGAGGTAACAATTTCACTTTTGATTACTTGAAAAGTTGATTTTTACACCTTCACCTGCCTTCATGATCTTTTTTTTTTTTTTTATTCATCAGAAATTCGAGTTGTCGCCTGATGGCAAAATTATAGCTGTTGTCGGAAAGTCTGGAGAAATACATTTACTAACTAGCAGCACTAAAGAGATGATTGGTACATTGCAAATGAACAAGTCCTGTACGTCACTTGCCTTTACACCAGATAGCACCAAACTTTTAACGTATGGAGGTAAGCGAAAATGTAACGTTATGACAATTTACAATAATGACACTAACTAAACGCCAATCGAAATATAATTTCAGAAAGTGCAGAAATGTATGTGTGGGACTTAAAATCACGAACGTGTTTAAATAGAGCTTACGACGAAGGTGCTGTAAGCGGCAGTTCGCTAGCGATATCGCCTGATGGCCAGTTTCTGGCATCAGGTAGCAAACAAGGTGTAGTTAACGTCTATGAATCAAAACACGTACTTGATCAAAGAACCCCAGTACCTGTTAAAAGAATTTTAAATCTCACGACAATTATTACAAGATTGAAATTCAATCCTACCAGTGAGATTCTTGCCATGGCCTCCGAGCAGAAGGTCAACGCTTTCAGAATGCTCCATCTTCCCTCATTTCAGGTATTCTCCAACTTTCCGACGAATAATACGAGAATGTTTAATCCAATTGACATCGATTTTTCACCAGCAAGTGGTTACATGGCTCTTTCGAATAATCGCAAATTTGCTTATTTGTACAGGCTCAAACATTACGGAAATTATTAAATAATAAAGACTGTTCTCGTTGACTTTTCTTAACAGAAAAACATTTATGACATTTCTTATGATGTTATTGCTGAAAAAATTAGTTTTTCATGGCTTGGAATTAAAAAAAATGCTTTATACTGTTTTTAAACTCAACTTTCATAATTTAACATACTTTATTGACCCAAGAACATGATTGCTCCTCTTTTAATATTACATTACTATTTTGAGACGCACGTGAAATTTTAATTCAATACATTTTTAACATTAGAAATAACAATTAATTGATACCTATTTTGTGTGACAAGTCTCTTTTTACGTGTACTAATTTTAATCACTGTACACGCGTTAACAGCAAAAATCTCAGATTGCAGTCACTCTTTATTCAAAATGTTGATTATTGCCAAGGACATGTTAAACGTAAAAATTGTGAAACAAAATCCTTTTTTACAGCACTTACGCATAATATAATTAAATCACACAATAAATCGTAATACAACAAACCAGTCAAAAAGTGGCGCGTAAAAGCATTAGTTTTATTTTATTATATTTAAAAATTGTTATGATCAAGTATAAATCTTACTGCAATGTTGACGGATAATTTGTCTTTGACATGAGAAGCACAAATACTTGATGTATGCGAAATTTTTTTTTTCAACTCAGCTAGATCACATTTGGCCCAAGTAAAACACTATGTGCCAGTTACAAACGCATTTAATACGTACTAGTGATAATCTCGATTTTTTAAGCAAATGTCTAGTGAGGTAAATTTTTCCTAAATTCATACTCTGTACAAAATTTTCAACAACGCCAATGTCAATTGGGATATACTACGAGTATAATTATTTATTTCTCTCACCATCGCGAGCCAACATTTTTTTTTTTTTTTTTTCGTTGGGATCGAAAACCATGCCAAAGATAAATGTGGCAATGTGCAATGTTGCGCGTTAATATGATTAAGGAAATTATTATAAAAAGTATAAAGATACAACCATCGCAAAAAACAACAACGGGTGACAAGATTCAAATAGTTTAGTTATAAATAGAACCTGCATCATCACAAGCCTAACAGTCTCTCTCAGTTGGAACCTATTGTCGATAAACGAGTTTCCTTTGAAGGATCTTCAAAATTGGTGCAAGCATCTTACAGCAAATCATTATTACGCTAGCACATTATTTTTCTTATTTTTGGCCATTGGATAATCTTGTTTTACAAGTCAGTTCATAGAGTTGATGCATTGAGAAACCATTGACCGATGAATGGCGGAAGCTCAATTGAAATAAAAAAAATACCCTGGAGAAATCAGACAAACGAAAGCCCTTGGTCCTATATCCTCTGCGGACTCTGAACCACCTGCAGATCTCATGTAACTTTCTTCTTTGTCGTCTTTTTATTCCGAGGCAGCGTGGCAAAACTTGAAATCTGAAAATAAATTTTTGATTTTCATTCAATAGCTGTCATTTCAAACAAGCAGAGCTTGAAACAAAATGTAAGTTTTTCAGTTAGAAAGTATTGTGGTTTAGTCAAACTGTTTATAAAACGGGTAATAATCACACTTATGAGGGGAGAAAAAACAGAGTATGCGTAACTCAAAGTCATGATTAGAGTAGATATACACGATGCACTGTGAATGGAACAATTTAATTAGTTAATGGACATCACACTGCAAATAATTGTTAATGTAATTTACCAATTGCCTATTTTGCAACTCTCATCCTCTATTAAATAACGTTAACAACGGCAGCGACAGAAAGACAATGATTGATGGCTGGTAACACGGAAGGTGAGAGAGTATAAAAAAAAAAACACAGCATGGATGTACAAGATGTTTTATACATTTATCCCCTCATCTGTTAGATCTGAGCGATGATCCTCGGCAACTTCGTCTTCAACGTTCTTTAACAGCACCTCGTCGCTTCGGTTGTCCTTGACGCTATCACAATTAACGGATTCGGACGTTGAATTAATCCAGTCTGCTTCGCGCTCTTTATGGAAGGCACTGTGAAAGATGTTCTTGGGAATGGTAAGGAGTTTGGAGAAGCTTTCGCGAGCCGCGGTCCTGGCACTTGACTTTTTGCGTCGCTTCACCTCTGCATCGTCACAGCTGGCGATGCTAGTGAAACTTTTGACCGTGCCGCCGGTTTTAATCACCAGGGTTGCCTTAACGGGCTTCTCTTCGACTGAATCTTCCTCTTGCTCCTCCTCATCCTCCTTGCAGGCCAACGTTTCCGGAGCTTTTGGAGCTGGCCTCTTATGGTACTTGCCGGCTCGTTCGCTACAGTCCGAGCTGCTTCGAGAGATGTCTGTGCTACTTTTAATTTCCAAAAAGTCCCGCATTTTGACACAAGAATCGTCCATGGTCTGTTGTTTGTCTTCCAAGCACATTTTATCATCGTCTTTCGATAATTGATTTTCTCCCCCAACGGCGTCTTGGAGCATGAGGATCGACGGCTTGATAACATTCACCAATTCTTTTTTCTCTTCGATGGCCAAGCAGGAACTATCGTCTGCTTTCAAGGTGGAACTGTCGTCCTCTTCGGAATCGGAGCTCACCATACAACTTTGACGCTGTTGGCTTTGCAATGCCGTAAAATGGTCCGTGTTTTGGGACAAAAAGGTCAAAAATTCGAGGGTTTGCTGGAAGATTAGGAAAGATGCGGGATTCCTGAGGAAAAGTTCCCTGGTGCCTGCTGCGGGCTCTCTTTCGTCAACCTCCGTTCCTCCGATCTTTGAATTTTATACGAAAATTCCGATATTTACACCCAAAAGGACGGATATTACTTTTATTTTCTTCCAAATACATTGATGTTTGAAAAATCCATCAAGCAACGATAAAAAGAAATTAAAAAAAAAAATTAAATAAAACTAGCGGCTAATCATTAATTACCTCGGGCAACTTTTTCGTCGATGACCTAGTGACTTTGGTGCGGTTGCGGGCTCCCACGCTGGCGGTCCTGACAAGCGGCGCCTGACTTGAGCTCGTGTTTTTATTATTTTGCGACTGAAGAGCTTCGCCGCTGCTGTATCCGCTAGATATGTCCTCCGAGGATTTGACGTTTCTATATTGTTGTAACGAATTATTATCATCATTGTTGTACTTAATCGTTGCACTTGTCTCATCGACTCACGTTAGACTGCCCACCGCTGATTCACGGGCCCTCGATTGCCGCGTGAGCTCGACGTCGACTTCGGAGAAGTACATCTCGACGTGGTTGGTGCCCGATTGGGTCCTGCGTGGACTGTATCCTCGGCGACCGGTGCGCTCACGGCGACAAAGCTCTGGAAAACAAAACGTCATTAATATTGTCGTGATTGGTGTAGGTGGTTGCGGTGCGGGGGTCTAGATTTTACCGTCTAGGTCCACCTCGTCGGGCGAGTGCTCGATGATGCGTCCCGCGTCTTCCTTCTCGCCGGTCAAATCGCTCAAACTGTAACTTTTGCGCAGCTGTTGCACGAGACCACCGCCTCCCTGAAATTTTTTTTGCATTTACTATGTATGTTTTTTTTTTTTTTTTTTTTTTTTTTTTTTTTTTTTTTTTTTTTTTTTTTTTT